AATTGCGAGTGGAGGACAATAAACAGGTGGAAGCAGTACCTGACTGGGCAAAAGTAGCAGTGGAGGAAGATGGAACAGCATGTTGCTGGGACAGAAACTGAGCATACTCTTCTTGTGTAATAATAATCAACCCAGTATCTGGTGGAGCTAACCGAGGTATGGAAGCCGCAACAGAGATGTCATCCTGATAAGAAACCTGATTCGCAATACCAGAAGGTTTTCCATGTAAATCCCAACAGAAATTAACAGTATGTCCTCCATGACCACAGTGAGTACAGGAACGTGGTTCACTACAACTCCCACGACAACTCGTACGACCTCTCATACGACCACCTCGATGACTATCATTATGGTTACTAGGAACCACAAGAGCTGAGCGATCAGTGAAAACACCATGATTGATACCTGAAATAGACAAAGTAGCATGCTGTATGCGAGAGAAAACCTCAAATAGTGAGGGAAGAGTAGAGCCACCCAAAATCTGAGAACAAATACCCTCATATTTAGGTTTCAAACCTACCAAAAATCTAACAACATTCATGTCCTCATGTTGCTTCTGCCAGTAGTAAATGGATGGTACGTCTTCATCTCCTCACAGATTCCCCAAACGTGAGAGTAATAATCCTCAATGCTCAGAGTACTCTGTTTTAGCCGAAAATACTCCTTGCACACCTCATAAACTTTGGTAAAATTGCCTGTACCAGAATACATAGTGGCCAAGTGTTCCCATATCTCCTTGGCAGTGTCAAGGTAGAGCAGAGTAGAACTAATACTAGGCTCAATGCTATTCAATAGTAAAAAAATAATTTGAGCATCCTCTTGTTCCCATTGATCATACCCAGGAGTGTCTTCCTTGGATTTAAGATTCACCAAATATTTCTTAAATCCTTCATCTCGAAGAAAAACTTGAACAAATCGGGACAATAAAATATAATTAGTCCCATTAAATTTGACAGAGGTTATGGGACCATTAATAAGAGTCGGAGGAGGCAAAGATGGAGTAAGAGACCTGGTATCTTGCTTGGATTCCATAATAGTGCAACAAATAGCAAACAAAGTAGTTGCAGCAAGTACCAGGAGGAAAGAAAGTTGTTGGAGAACTGAATCGGAAGAAAAGAAACAGCTAGAGTACTGAACCGGGCTGGAAAATTGGGTTAGACCACTGAACTGGACCAGCAAGAGCTCCTGGACCACTGAACCGGACCCCTTTTACTTGCTGGAATGTTGAATCGGGTTAGAAAACCTAGCTGAACCACTGAACCGGACCAGCAAGACTCTCTGGACCGCTGAACCGAACCAGCAAGACTCTCTGGACCGTTGAACCGGACCCCTTTTTCTTGTTGGAATACTGAACCGGGTTAGAAAACTGGGCTGAACCACTTAACCAAACCAGTAAGGCTCTCTAGACCTTTGAACCAGACCGGCTTGAGCTCCTGGACCGCTGAACCGGACCTGTTAGGCCCTCTGGACTGTTGAACCGGTCTGAACAGTGATCCGGTCTAAGCTGAACCGTGGCTGGACCGGATTGGACTTAAAACAATTTAAGTCCTAGGCTTAACCCGATCTGATCCAGACCCAACATTCGGTCTTGGGTCCATTCTTCTTCGCTGATTAGGACTCCAAGAGAACCTCTAGTTTGCGACAATAGCACACGCCAACGACAACAGCAAGACCACCACTGCCACCACACACCATAGCCACCACAACCACACCACTACAGCAAAGACTACTACGCGACAGTGAATAGAAGCCACACCACCACTACAAGCAATCTCGCCACCACACCAACAGTGACCACCTCAACATTACCACCACGAACCACGAACGATGCAAGTGGACGATGAACAGAGATCACACTACAACAGTGTTAATATATTTAGGATCGTTTGTGCTTTGATACCATGTTAAGTTTGGAGGATTAACATAATATTAGAGACAAAGAGAGAGGTTAAAAAACTTAACCTAACTCTTATATATCACTTGTATTTATAGTTAACATACAATAATAAGATACATCCTCTTACTGTTAACAATTTACACATACTACCCTATTATTCTTAACACTCTCCAATTATTAATCCTCCTTTGCTGGTTTATTGTTGTTCCAAGGACAAACAAGTCATTTCATATACTCCAACTCCACGGCCATAACCTGATTCTACTGAGATTCTGCCCTTTGAGCCGTCAGGGAGTTCATCCTTTTCTAATTTATATAATGCATTTAAGAAAGGTATGTACAACTATACCAAAGATCCCATTCTAATTTAATTTTTATACATCGGTTTTCCTCATTCTTTCGTTGTTTCACATCGACTGTATCTTCTGAATTTGTTACTAGCTCTTTCAAACTGGCTTTGGCATCTCCTTGTTGGAAATTGGATATAGATGAGAAAATAAAAGCCCCTCATGAGAATCAGGCATGGTACCTTACTATTCTTCCTTCGGGTAAGCAGCTTTTTAATTTTCGTTGGGTCCACATAGTGAAGTGTCATCCCAATAGTTTCATTAAACATTTAAAAGCACGTTTGATTGCCAAAGACTACAATCAGACATAGAATGTGTATTACTATAAGATTTTGCCCAGTTGCCCGTCTTAACTCTATTAGAGTCCTTATTTCTGTTGTAGTTAATTGTAATTGGTCTTTGTATCAACTAGACATCAAGAATGGTTTTTTACATAGAGACCTACAGGAGGAGATATATATGGTACATCCTCTAGGTTATGTTGCATCTGGTAAAGAATAATTAGTGTGTCATCTGAAGAAACCACTATATGACCTGAAAAAATCACCATGCGTTTGGTTTGGTAAGTTTAATACTATTGTACTTTAGTATGATTTTTCAGCGCTCTACCTCAGACTATTCAATTTTTATTCGTCGTTATTCCACAGGTGGTATTATTTTTATTGTGTATGCTCATAACATTATCATTAGTGGTAATAACTCAAATGGTATTGTCCACTTTAATATCCATTTGGGAAAGCAATTTCGTACCAAAGACTTGGATCTTCTTCGATATTTTCTTAGGATTGAGATTGCTCGACCAAAGGAAGATATCAATTTGCACCAACGAAAGTACGTTTTAGATTCATGGTCTGAAACTGGTACTCTAAGATACTAAGAACGGTGAAGCTTTTGATGATGTAAGTCGCTATAAGAGGTTGGTTGGTTAGTAAACTGGTTTATCTCATAGTTAAACGTCATAATATTATATATACTATTGGGGTGGTTAGTCAATTCATGGACATTCCTCATAAGTCTCATTGTTAGGTTGTCTATCGTATTATTCTATATCTGAAAGGAGCACCAAGAAAAGGATTATTATATCGTTTTCTATCATCCATGACTATTATTAGTTTTTTTTTTATGCTCACTGGGCACGTTGTTGTGTTGTATACATTTATTGGTGGTAATATTATTACGTGGCACAATAAGAAACAGAATGTAGTTGCACATTCACGTGCAAAAGCTGAATATCGGGTTATGATTCATACAACATGTGAGATGATGTGGGTTCATTCCTTACTTCATAATATAAGTATTAGTGTGCCTCTCCTATGGAGATGCATTGCAACAACCAAGCGGCTATTTTCATTACCAAAAATCCAATGTTTCATGAGAGGACTAAACACATCAAAGTGGATTTTTATTTTATTTGATATCTCTTGATGTAAAAGGAGATTCTCACACCACACATCAAGTTTAATGATCAGCTAGGAGACGTTCTTATCAGTCTTCACTAATCTTTGTTCTAAGATGGGTATCTTTAATCTTTATGCTCTAACTTGAGGGGGAGTATTAAAGTTCTTATTTTAGAGTATTAGTAGTGTAGAGTAATAATGCAATTACTCATAATATCATTTTATTATAAATAAGAGAGTTTAGGACAACATAGCCTCCACAACAGATTGCTCCCTTTCTCATCTTCTCTTTTCCTCTTGTCATTTCTTCTCCCTTTCTTACAAACCCTAATACCACTTCTACAATTTTAGTTTAACTAATAGTGCTCACAACTAAACATGATCAACCCAATTCAACATGATCGTACTAAGCAATCTGTGATTGAATGACATTTTTCTGAAGAGAAGTTGAACGTTGAACAGAAGAGCAACTTGCTCAAATATGAACAAACGACAATCCAAATAACATTTTTCGTGATATCCTCAAGAAATCAAGCAAGTGATATCTTTTTATCAGCTTGAAGGAAAGTATTAAAATACGACTTTATTTGTCTATTATCATTCATATCGACGAACCAAATTTCGTTTCAAAATAGTCGAAATGTTTTCGTTTCCATAGAAACCGAAACAATTCATTGATTGAATATCAAAATTCCTATGTTTCGGTAGGTTTCAAGGTGTTTCGGCATGTTTCGACCTGTATTTTGGTATGTTTCGACCAATATTGTGGAAATAAATTTTCAAATTTTTCGTTGTTTCTATCTTATTTTCGAAATGTTACCAAAACGTTTCCATTTTCAAGCTCAACAAAAACAATGCACCAAAACGAAATTTAGATCCTTGATTCATGTCTTGAAGGGTATTTGTGTATTCTTTTTTTTTAAATCAGATTCCCTAAAATCTTGCACGAAAAAGCTCTTGGCAAAATAAAATTGCCTAAAAATAGGCCAGTAGCACATCTCACTTGAGATTGCTTGATTCAAGGAGTTTGAAAGGGGTCAAGATGGATGAATAGATAGCAGGATATAGGCAGGAAAATCTGCCAACAATTCAACCCCAAATCTAGCCAAGAAAGCAGCAATGTGTTTCCTAGACTGATACGTTTCTCCTATGCTGAAATTTTTGAAATTCTGCTGGGATAAGAAACCATTCCAACAACTGCCTTATGGATAGACTATCAGAGAATCATGCATTTCACAATCTGTGGCAATCCAAGAGTTCAAGTTTGGATAGAAATAACGCCAAGTAATATCTCCCTATACCACTTCCCATATTTGAAAAGACCCTAGCCATAAAAAAAATGCCAAACTTCCAAAGAGGCTAATTTGGTGGAATACCCAAAATCCTCAGTTCGACCTTCCTCTCCTCAAATACCCGTACCATTGCCACCTGCTCTTCCTCAAAAAGAGATCCCAATAAACAAATAGCCATCAAGCTTGCAGCTTCCAAGGTTCAGAAATAGAACCTGTAAAGAAATCTGAATTTTAATACCTCTGGAAAAAACACCCCTGCTCCTCAGTGGAAGAACAACTTGAATTATCCAGAAACATAACCTCTTAAGACCCTACATAAAATAACAAAACTGTAATCTGCATCAATAACATAAACTAGTATCTCCTAAAACCATAAGGTTTCTTCTGCTTCTGCATCTTGAAAGATTACTTAGATTTCGACCTTGTCACCGGCATAGACCCCTCCTGGACCTTCTGAGGGAGATCTCTTAAAGTTGCCTCCTCAATTTGTCTTTGGTGCCTCACCTGCTGTGCTAACTCCCTTATTGTGATATCAGCTTCTGCCCTTGCCTTTACCCTTTGTGCTCTATTGATTTTTGCCAGCAAAAGCTTAGACCGAGACATAAAGAGCTTAATGTCAGCATTAGGTAGTAGTTTCACATCTTCACCATCGGAGGAAAACCCCTATTTACAGAATCATAAATAATCGACTCCTTAATGAAGTCACCAATACACCATCTTTGGCATTAGTGTATTTATAGTGAAGTTAGTACAAAAAGTATGTTGAACTATACATACTTAAGTTACACTCTCTTTAACAGTTTAAACTTTTAAAGTAGATAGTGGTTCAACATAGTATCAAAGCACGAGCTCAGTGTTTGAATTTCAACGCCAAACTGATAATTAAAAAAATGTAACGTGCTAGGCCCAAAATCCAGCCAGCATGTGAGAGGGAGTATTGAAGGATAAATATTTAAGTTACACCTTCTCTAACAACTTAAACTTTTAGAATAGAAGTGGTTCAAGAGCCCTAATCTGACTATCTCTTTTCTATCCATATTTTCTCTTTTGTTTTTCTTTCTTTCGCCCTTCTTCTTCCCACTGTTATCACATTATATCAGATTTCAACAACAAAACTGCAACAATAAGAAGACTAGTAACAAAACCTAACCTTCCCTTGAATGCATCCATCTCTCTAAAGTTGGTGTGGAAAAGATGATTTAATAAAGTGCTCTTCCCTGTTCAACAAATTCATTCTTTTAAGTAATGTGGCAATATAATGACTTCTGAGAAGCAAACCATATTAGGCTGGTAAATCATGTCAAACTATGTGACGAGCTATCACACCCAATAGTAGTCATTAGCATTTAAAATGCAATACAAGAGGACAAAACCTGGTCATGACTACTGAGAAAAAGTAATAAAAATGTGCTTCAAAGAGAGAGAGAGATTAACAGATTGATACAAAAAGATCCGACGATGTAATGGAACATTTGATCGTTCAGTCGTTAATAATACAGTAATAAAGATATCTCAAAAAGAATTACATAAGGGATTGAATTAGCCTCATTTTTTTTCCACTAGTCGAGAGTCCCACACCAAGGAGAAGAAACAGAGAAACAATGGAAAAAAATGCTTATCTTAGTTCAGCCATGTATATAATAGCACAAAATTAAATGTGAAAATTTTTAAATCATGGTTTATATGATATAGATGTATTCAAATACATTCATGGGCATGGGCAAATACATTCTTTTTAGAGTTGATATATATAGAACGTATATAAAAATTTCAAGAAAAAAAAAACTTGTCATCATCATTGGCAGTCATAGCTAAGTGGAATAATTTGTTGAAATATACATGTTCTCTCATGAATTAAGATCTATTTATAGCAAATATATTATTCTTATAGGCTGTGGCAATGAATATTTTGAAGTAGATTACTTCACAAAATATAGTATTAGGCATATCATGCATGAGTATACTAGTGACGCAACGATAACAGGGACACAGAAATCATCGTTTCTTTATGTATCGAACCAATACAACTCTGAATCCACATAGAAAAAGGAAGAGAAACTCTATAAAATATTATTGATATTGTTGAATGAATAGAGTGAATTTCACTCATAGTACAAAGGGACAATTTATAGAAATTCCCAAGCCCTAAAGGTTTCCAAAACGGACCTAAATCTCTATAGGAAAGTTACTAAAACGAATAAAAGCACGGCTTTTGCAGTTCAGGAAAATTGGCATGATTTAGAAAACTAAATATTCTAGGCTAGGAGACAATATTCTTCCTTAAATCCTAATCCTACCAAAATAACAAAAATAAATAAGTATGGTAATTCGTAAACTCGTCTACATCAAATCCTCCTCAAAAAAAATCTCGTTCTCAAGTTTTAACTGTTCTTTGATATAATTTGGTACGCCTTCGCTTGCCTATATCTGCCTTACATTTAAGATCGATTTTTTATGATATCTCAACATCTCCTTTAAATTTTCCTTGATCTGCTTTAACTTCAAGAAGTTCGCCATTGGTTAATGTTGCAACAAGACTATGGGACCCAAGATATGGTTCATAATTCTTGAACGAAATACTTGAATCTTCGTTTTTCCCTATAACTTTTTGATCCATCCAAGTATTTGAAAAACCCACATTCACCGAGTTTCGATATGAGACTTGAGTCATAGGATAATTATTATATTGTGCAAAAGATTGTAACCAAATATCACCTTGAGTTGACTGCTTTCATCCAGACTCTCTGTGTCACCGCACAGACCGGTGCACCATACTACTTGTGTACTTTGTCTTTATATATGATAATGCTGAGGTAAAAATCTCACTTTCAATAACTGTTTTAACCAAGAATGAACTTTAGATTTTTGTTGACTTACAAGTCACAATTTCACCTATACCTTCCAATGAGAAGTCATACCCTTGCATTTATATGCTACTAAATCTTTCCTCTCTTCGAGATTTCATGATAATCAAAGAATCATTTAACTTTGGTCAACAAATCAAGGAAATCTTCTTTATAAACTTAACCATCAAAACTTGGTTGGTCAAATTCACAAAAAATCTTGATGGGGACAAGATTGAGATCTAAAACAAGTCAACCACGAGCCTTATCATCGTTTTAAACCCTATTCTGATATGGATCTTGATTCATTCCAAATGTTGACCAAGCAACCAAATCGTAAAACTCACGATATGCTTGCTTGGTCCCCAGCCAGGGACTACAAAACTAGGCTCTCGGAAGTGCCCTTTCCTCATGATCACGGTCAGTGAAAAAATTGTCACCACTTCCCTAATTAGCAATCATGCCAAATCAGTCAAGGCTTTAGTACCAATTGATGTAGCAGTAACTGGGACACAAAAAAAAAAAAATTTCAAAGTTCCTTTATGTATCAAACACACAAGACTCAATTCATAGAGAAACTCTCTAAATTAAAATTGATATTGTTGAATGGATTGAATGAATTGAACTCGTAGTACATAGGGACAATTTATAGAAATACCCAAACCCCTAAAGGCTTCCAAAATGGACCTAGATTCATTATTATAGGAAACTTACTAAACCAAATAAGGGCATTTTTTTTTGCAACTTAGGAAAATTGGCATGCTTTTGGAAACCAGATATTGTTGGCTGGAATGTAATATTCTTATTTAAATTCTAATCCCACAAAAATAATAAAAATAACAATAAAAAATGATAACTCCTAAAACTCATTCCATCAACAAGTCTTTTCTCTTTTATTATGATACCTATATATGTGAGTTAATAGTGAGGGGTAGTGTTACGAACAAGTCTTCTCCTCTCACAATCTTTCGTAATCACTTTTTGACCAAACCCTAAATTTGGTACCGGAGTCTCGTTGTTAAGGCTCGCATTTGGCATACCTTTTTCCTCTTTCTTTTCCTTTTTTTCTCCTTTTCCTGTTTTCCTCTTCTTTTTCTCTATTCTTTTGCCTTGCTTACTACTTGTGATTGTCATTCGGGTAAATTAAGCCTTTCGTGATTAGTCGTAAATTGTGTAATTTAAGATGATGGTGTTAAATTTGTGTTTGTTTGTGGTCTGAGAATAACGATCGTGAATGATGAACACTATCTGGATGTCGTTTTTGGAGGTGTTGTGATCGAAGTGTAGATAGAATGACCTATTTCACCTCTTTTTGTTTTTGCATAGTTTACGTTGATTGCCATTGGATCCTTTCACAACTATTGACCTCGTTCTTGTGGTTTGTTGCCATTAGTTGCCCTTGTTGTGCTCTGTCACACTTCTGGTACTCATTGTTTTGTTCGTCTTCGGCGTCATCATTCATCAACATCGTTGTTGGCATGGGTGTCACTTGCCGCTAAGTTTGGGAACCAACTGTCGCAGCTAGAGTTATAAAGGAATCTAATTTCCCCAATTTATTATCACCCTCAGTTATTGAGTCCTATTCAAGTAATCGTTTTATCATAGATTCGAGTCGACCCAGTTGAATCTAGATTCAAGTCAACCCATTTGATTTGGATCAATTTAGTCTAAATGTCTAATAGTTCATCAATTTTATTTGGGTTTAGCTTCAGCTTTAGGATTGGAGACTAGTTTGGTTTGGTTCAGACATCTTTCAAACCAATTGTGCGAGTAGGTTTCTTACTTTCCAATTGTCGCAACTCCTCTTGATCTAACTTTGAGACAACTCACCATTGACTTCACCCTTTATTCCATTACAAGATGTTATTTCACCCGTTCTCTCACCTCCTCCAACTTCCATGTCACCTTCCTCTGTAGCTCCATTATAGGCAAAGATCAAAATTGCATTTCGCTTGCACTTAAATGACCTAAATGAAACGTTTCTATCTCGTGAAATTTGTAACGCGTAAATGATGTGAAATTGAAATTCTTATGTATTGGAATGTCTTAGCCAATGTTTCATAGTCAAACTTCTAAATTTTTATCCATTTGCAATATGTTTCTAAAGCATTTCCAAGCAATACCATTTCTAACCACCCGAAACTATACACTAAGATGAAATTATACAATGAGATCAAATTTTGATCTTTGATCACAAGTGTACCCTTGTTGTCCAAGGTCAATTACTAAAGGGTCCCTTCATCTTCCTTGTCCTCTTATAATTTGAGTTCACCCATTGTTTTAGGATTCATTGCCCATTACTCTTCCTAAAAAGGCCCTTGTGTTAATAACCTTCTTAGTCATTTTGTCACTTACAATGCCTGGTCCTAGTGTTAATAGTATTGTTCTATACACAATACGTATTGTAAGATGGGTATCGCACGATACATTTCGATATAGTGAAAAAAGATACAATTCACTATTTTATATTATTTTCCCATGTGTAATACGGTACATGATATGTATTAATACATTTGAATCTAGTAAAAAAAAACAATATGTGCAAGACCTTTTTTTTTACAATGTCTTTTTCTTCTATGATTCTCTTCTACTTCTCCTGCTTCTTTTTCAAACAAGAAAGACCCTAGCTATATGTTGATTTCTATCAAGCTGACGACTGGTTGTCTCTCTTTCAATCTCTGTGGCAACCCCGCATCACACGAAATAATAAGTCAAAATAATATTTATATTTTTGAACAATATACATTCACACATTTATTGGTATTATATATGTTAATGTAGAAAGTATAAATACTTAAGTTATAACTTCTCCAATAATTTAAGTTTTTAGAGCAAATGGTGGTTCAATATGATATTAGAACAGGAGCTCCTACATTTGAATTTCACCGTCTGCCTAATTATTACAAGATTTGCACATACTAGGCGCAAAATTTAGCTTGTACATGGGTGGATGTGTTGAATTATAAAATATTTAAGTTACACCATTCCGAATAACTTAACCTTTTAGTGCAGATGGTGGTTTGACAATTTCGATACGTTACCTAGCATGATAGACTATTTTCAAACAAATGATATGCATTGCTATATACATTTTTTAACAACCCTAGTATAGTGTTATGTCCTACATTTGCTGGTTTTACATCTTAGCTCTTCACGATGATGGTTCAACCCTAATGTTCTTTTGAACGTGTAGAAGTCCAACTAGCTGCTAAGAGATTTACTCATACTTTTACAGATTATGAGAAGAGATTTAGCGCTAAGATAGTCTCTATTCATGTGTTACGTTCTTTGGTTACTAATCGTGATTAGCCTTTGTTTTGTGGGATGCAAAAAATTCAACCACTTTGACTTGTTGCTCAAGGGGAGCGTTGTCATAGTAAGTCTGTTCAAAAAGGCTTCATGGTCTGAATCAATTACCAGGAGAGTGCTTTGCTAGCACTTTAGAGGCAACTTTAGCATTTGGTCTCTCCAAAGAAAATTTATATTCAAGAACAATATAGATAAAAAGTTAATGAAATCGGTTACTATATAGAAGTTCAAGACTAACTTCAACTTCTCAATTTTTTGCACTATTAAATAGATGAGGCATCTTAGGGCATAGGGATGAACATTTACATCGAGATGCGGACCAAACATTCTTGAGTAGGATATTGAAATCTCACCAAGGTGGAAAATTATTGAATGTTGATAGTGACTCAAATTAATGAGTTGGTTAGCAACTACCAGTGGTTAAATGAAATCTGACACCAATGGAGTGACAAAATAAGGTGCCAAAATGCATACGCCGTCTTTTACCGCAGGAGAAGATCTTGTCTAGTGTGAATTAATGAAGAATAAAGGAGAATTGTCTCCTTGCATCTCGTTCAAGGTTGCCTTCAAAATTATGCTAATGCCTTCAATCATTTATGCCTATAAATTGCCATATTCCCCACGAAATACGAAATATGGCAACCAATTTTCACACTAGAGTTCAATGTAAAAAAAAATACTCCTAAATATGTGAAGGTTAGTTGACTAGGGTGTACAAGGGTTGAGGGCTTGACGAGGATATTAAAAGTTGAGTCTTGTACTCGTACTATAATTCTCAATTTTCTCAATAACTGAGAGTGGCCGGATCATGGCAGGAATTTGCCAAACCACATAACTAAAGTTGTTGCCTTTTCTTTGTGTGTTTTGATTTATTTTATTTATATGTTTATTGTTATCATATTGACTAAATTGCTGCGAATATTCCCAACAACTTATAACCAAGTATCGAAATATCGTTTCGACGTATCGTTTCGGTCGGCTCGAAAACGAAAATATTTCGGAAACGCAATAGAAACAGAGAAAAAAATGAAAACGCGTGGAAATATCTAGAAACATTAGTAAAATCCTCTTATTTATATAGATAAACTTAATAATTGATTGATTGAGCATGTTTATTAATTTTAGATATTTAATAAATAAGGTATATTTTAATAATTTAACAAATAACAACAATATAAAAGAATAAAAGAAAAAAAAGTGATGAGGATTAAAATAAACTGTGATAACAGTAGTAAAAAGAAAAAAAAGGAGGGGAGGGGAAAAGGGATTAAACAGATGAACCAGGCACAAGGCACATGGGGTAGAGAGAAAGAAAGAGAGAGGGGGGAAACGAAGGTCTAAGGCAAGCCACTCGCTGCATGCCTCGCGGCATCGCCTTCCCCACCCCAGATCTCTAGATCAGAGAGTGAGAGATACAACTCAAAGCCACAGCCCATAGAAACCCATGAAGAATTAACAGAGAAGAAGAAAAAAGAGAGAAAAAATAAGAAGAGAAAGGAAGAAATCTATACCTAGAGGCTAGATCTGGACGGCTCTAATGGAATTTGGCTTTGATTTGCTGAGAATTGAATTTGGGAACCACAGGTAAGTTGAAACCTTCTTTTTTTTTCGATTTCTGTGGTGTTCTTCCTATTCTCTCTTCGTTTATTAGTTTCTCAAGACGAAAGGGATAAAATCTCTCCCCTTTTATGCGGCTCCTATCAAAACATGTCACTGTTTCAACCGAAACATCACCGTTTCGACCAAAACATTTTGAAATAGTGGCGTTTAGCTCGAAACTCCTATTTTTTTATTTTCACCCTGTTTCGTGCCGGTGTGTTAAAAATCCACAGCGTTTCAGACGCTTCAGACATGTCGATACGATATTTTGATCCTTACTTTTCCATAAAACTTTGTATTTCTAACAAAAAAAACTTCATCTCAAAAACTCTTATAGTATGTATGTATGTCTGCAACAATAAAAGATATTTCAAATAGCTACAAGAATTAGTTAATTTGCCAATTCCACCCAAAAATTTGACGTAGTCATCAGTCCAGTGTTATTAAAAACGAGCCTAGGCGAGAAGCGAGTCCAAGTCACCTGAAGTGTTCTAGACGAAGCAAAGATTAAGCATCCAAGACAAGCTCGAGAAGCAAAGAATTGCACGCTTCCGGAAATATTTTATTTTGCTTTTTGGATCTATTGTGGACCTTTAGACTATTCTTCTTATGTGACACAGGATTGCTTGCTTCCAATAAAAAAACCATCTATGACTTGGAGGCAAGGATCAAAATATCGTTTCGAAACAGTCAGAACATCCAAAACGTTTCCGTTTCCAAGGAGAAAGAAACAAATCAGAAATGGAATCAATATTCTAATACTTCGGGGTGATCCATAATATTTCGAAACGTTTTATTATATTTCAATGCATTTGCACAATTATTTCGGAATGTTTCAAGATATTTTGGTATATTTTGATCAATAGTTTGAAAAAATAATTCTTAAATTTTTTTTTTTTTAATATGGTTTTCGAAATGGGTCGAAACGTTTCCGAAACATGTCGAAACGTTTCCGTTTTCTAAATGACCGAAACAATGCACCGAAACAAAATTTTGATTCTTGCTTGCAGGCTGCAACTCACTAGACCAACTTCTTCTTTCTCTTCTCTTCCAAAAAAAGGATTCACTGCAAAGACTCATTAGGTGCATGTACTTCCTTTCGTCTTCTTCTTCTGGGATGGAGCATTAGAGCTGAAGCTTTGTTTTTGTTTTTCATTTTCTTTTGCTGTCTTCTTGTTCATTTTTATGTTGTTGTTTTTCTATCCTGGATTGTATGCTTTCTGGTTTTTGATGTCTCTGTTTTCATCTTGATCTTTATAGTACCTGTTTTTATTTTGCTGCTGAAACAGCAAAACAAATGTATCTGTTCGCAATCTGTTTATTTTGTTACTTTTGTGTGTTCATATTTTGAAGTTGAAACTTGACATTTAGTAGTAACTAAACTAAATATTTCCTTGGCTTTTATACCATTCACCTTGCTTCAATGAAGCTCATGATTCGCTGCTCACTTCTCACCTAGGCCTCAAGAGACCTGAGCGCTTCAGTTCACTTTACGTCCTAAATAACACATCATGAGTCTGCAACACAAAGCTTCTAACTCCATCTACCAGTTGTATACATGTCTAAAGCCTT